AGGGCCCAGGAGGACAGGCCTCACCAAGCTAGACCCCAAACCCGAGGGCCCTTGAGCTTGGACTTCCAGCCTCTAGAACTGACAGGCATGCATTCAGTTGTTTAAAAACTGCCTGGACAAGTGGTGAAGACCTGGATTTTTATTAAAAAGTTTAGTAATTATAAACAATAATAAATAAATAAATAAATAAAAACTGCCTGGACTATACTATTTTCTTACACCCGTGTGAATACGGAGCTCCTAAACTCTCTCAGTGAATACCATAGTGAACCTCCTAGCGTAACATGTTCTGGAAAATTCTGTTTCTAAGAGGATGATTTAAGGACACTTTTGATACACTTTATTTAATAGAAACTTCAACTAGAATCTTAAGGAGAAAATGAATTTCTCTTTGATATAACCAACTATAATTTGAGCACTATGTGTTTGGATTTTTGTACTTTCAATTTTCCTGGAATAAGGTGCTTGTATGTTGAGTTTTACTAAGTATTCTCTCGTCATGGTCTCGTTTCTGATATTTAATTTTGGTAACATTTATATGGGGCCAGGAAGACTGTGACATCCATTCCCATTTTACAATGGAGACTTTATGCAAATTCAAAGGAGGTATTTTTATAGTGCTTTATAACACCCCAAGATAGTTCTCTTCTTGTACAAATTAAGGGATGTTAGGCAAACTCCCAGCCTTCTTTTGAAAGCTAATGGACAATGTTAGTACTGTGCTAGCCACCAGAGAAGCGAGTTTGAAACTCTTAAACCCATGGGATGGGAATGCATTATCAGTGGGGCGGTGCCTGCCCAGCACAAGTAGGGCTGCGTGCGTCTAGTGTAAAGTAAAATAAAATAAACCTGGGTACACCTGACACCTAGGGCTACCCAGGTCACATAAAACTGGCACAAATCATATAAAACCTGGGGAGGCTTCTGTGATGATACCGTCATAATCTCAGGCAATTCCCCATTCACACTGCACTAGTTGTAATGGAGGCCCATGACAGCTTCAGACAGTTCTTTATTCTCAGAGATGCGGTAGGGACAACTATCAGTTTACTCTTTGTAATATTTCCTCTGTTCCATCGTACTGAATTGGGAAAAAAAAATAATGACAGGAGATGGGGCCAAATCCTTCTCTTGTTGTTTTTGTTTTTTTGGACAAAATAGCTCCTGTCTGGTGGCCCCCGTGCGTGGCTCTCTTCTTCCTCTCCAGTGTCAACACTATCGGCCATGCCCTTTTCTTCCTCCTAATAACCACCTGATCATGTGCGCCAGCCTTCCCCGGCGGGCCCTGCCTGCACCACCTGCCTGGCATTTCGTGGTGATATTTATTTCATCTGTACGGGAGGGGTCTCCTCCCTGTCCGAGGCTCTGGGAGCAGAGGAGGGCCAGCCGCCAAGCAGTATGCTAGAAATACCCGGTGGGTGGGATGCAGCATGCTTGACTCCATCCACCGCAGATGCCTCCGTGCCCTGGATTCAGATGGGGAGAGCTGGGGGGGACAACTGCAGTCACTGTCTTCAAATTTATTCTTGTCCTTTAAAGCTTCTGATTACTGATTTTAGTAGTCTCTCCTTCGAAGATTTCTATCATCTAAGAAACGAGATGAGTGTGACTTGGAGAGCAGTGCACGATGCCAACGTGCAAGTTTCTATTGTCTACCTCTGCTTCCACTAGCCAGCGAGGAGCTCTTGTCAGCAGGTAAGCTGCAGGGCCCCTCAGCAGCTGGATGCCTCTTGATCAGCAGAAGGAGACGGAGAACCACAAAATCACCCTGTTGTGCCTAATCAGCCATCAAACCCACAGCGCTGAGGATGCTCCGTGGCGCAGACTCTCGGGAAATAATTACCTCCTTCCCCTCTCACCTGCAGAGCTCTGGGAAACCTCCCTTTATCAGGGATCCCACAGCCTCTGGGGTAAACATCAGCTGGGCAGATGTGAAGTGCCAGAAAGCAGCAGGGTGGGTCTGCAGTTGATTGGCTCGCTATGAATAGGTCCACTCAACATACGAACGAACGCGGCATGCAGCTATCAGTCTCACCACTGACTCAAGGACAAACTTCATTCTTTGCAGACAAGTAGCCACATACAACAGAAAGGAGACCTTCTTTGTCGGCTCCTGGAAGGTGTAGAAGTGCAATCGACTGTAAATGAGACCTTGGTTTCTCCAACAGTGACAATGTAGAATTTGACTAATCCTGCTGTGTATCCATATTTCACAGTTCAGGTTATGCAAGATAATGGACAAAGGCCACAAGGCGTCCCAGCAGACAAGCGTGTGTGGAAGCACTGCCCAGGGCCCAACCCAGACCCCTTGGGAGCTGCCCATGCTCGCTGAGCTCACCCGTGGAGGGAGGGCTGTCCTCTGGGCAGGACCCTCGGGGCCCACGCCTCAGGGACCCCCTCCTTCGGTGCCAGGCAGCTGCCGTGGCAGGGCAGCCCGTGTGCTGTCCACTTCAGTGCCAAGGGAGCAGGAAAGGAGGGTCTGCCAGTTATCTCTGAGTGACAAAGACAGGCCATGGCATCTAGCTAATTTAGAGCTGGAAAGAGTGCATCAGTGATGTCACCATCACTCGCACTCAGGGGAAGAAGGAGGGAACCCAGAGGGAGAGCATGACTGGGCAGTGGCCGTGGATCCAAAGGCAGAAGGCAGGACTGTACCTTGGATCCATCACCACTTTCCAGGGCAATGATAAACAGACTGAGAGCCAAACTAAATGCAGGGAAGAGACATGCTGGAAAGAAGGCAGTTTATAATCTTCCAGAGGGGCAATTCCTCCACAAGCATCACTTGTTTGTATCCACCAAGAACAACCAGAGGATGCTGGGACATTCGGCAGACCTACTCTGATGAGGGAAAGCGCACATTCCCAGCCAGGAAAACAACCTTTAGATCACACGTGAGGACAGGGACAGCCCCTCTGCTCCTTCAGCTGGGAAGCCATTAGGTGTTCCTGGATTTGGGGGCCAAACTGCCCTGACACAAACCCCAAGCCTCTACTAAGAAGTAGGTCAGCTGCTCTTGTCTAGGGACAACAGGACAGTGATAAGGCAAGCAAAGCCCTTGGAAGGGGTCTTAGCTGAAAGGGAGGGCTCAGTGCTAGTGTTGCTGCTGCTGCGTGCAATGTTTTCTAGTCAAAAAGTGGAGGCCTTGTTTGCGTCGGGTGCAGTCCTTGGTCCCACAGTTTTTCAAACAGGAGCTAAAAGCAATGGGAGCAGGCTGACCCCACTGTGCTCTCTGTGACACCCGAGGGCTAAAACAGACCCATAAAGGGCTCCCTAGCCAACAGGTGCTGCATGGCCCTGGGCACAGATGTCCTGACCCAGGTCACTTGGGGGGGGCACACTTCTGGCTTGCAGGGCTCACACTGAGACAGCACGGAGGATGCTGGGGAGTCCTGTGACATTCGTGGACACACCCTGCTGGCAGCAGTGCTGTTCAGGAAATGCCAAGGGCCCCATGCTAGCGCTTCCTGGGTGTGGAGGAGCCAAACGGGAAGTACATCCAAGACACACCAGCGACTGCGCTGCATTCCCCCACACAGCGCCCTTCACGTCAGCCTTCTCACTGACTGAAATCTTCCAAAGTCAAATTTCTTGTCTAACACTAAACCTTCGACACCACTGAAGAGTCCTAACAGGGACACCTCCAAACAGCTCTGCTGGCTCAGGAGTGTGTCTGGACAGCACACTGAGGCACTTCAACCTAGCATCAGTCCCTACAGTGCACCCACACGCGTCCTGCCCTCCCAGAGGTGCACAGCAGAGTACTTGCTCAGGGAAGGGTGACGGGGGCTGACGCCTCCTAGGCCCCAGGCGGCACGGACCCCTTTCCATGCTCACCTCTCTCTGCCTCTGCTCACAGATTAGGTCTCTGTTCTCATGTCCTCCCAGAGTGACCACTGCCCTGCCTGAGGCTCGCACATCTGCCGCTGTGTCCCGGGAACAAATGGTCTCACGTGCAACGTGCATGCACGCCCACGCTCACACCTTGCCTGCAGGAGGACATGGCTGTTGCTTGAAATGTGAGGCCCTTGCAGGAGTTGGCTGGTGGCCACTGAGTGATGTGCCCAGGGGACAGTGTCGGGCTCAGGACCCGTCCGCCTCCCTCACTCTGCAAGCAGTGTGAGTTCAGCACCATCACACACATAAGCCCCGGTCAGGTGGAGGCACAACCATCACCAGGCCAGAGCCCCAGTCTGGTGCCCGCAGCCTGCCTGCCTGAGACCACCCCCAGAGGGCACTGCCCCGTCCAGTACTACAAGGCCCAATCCCACACGGGGCCCTGGAGCGAGAGACAGTGTCCAGCTCTGCCCCTCCTGAGGGAAGCCCTCTCCACTCTCAACATTGCTGGGCACAGCTTCCTCAGGCCCACCACTCCTGGCTCATAGGACTTGCACCGATGTCCTGCCCACTAGGAGATGCTGACTCTGTGTCTCCCCTGGAGACAGTGACTGCTTGAGTCCAGGTCCCCTGACCCTCACCCTGGTGTCCCTGGAGATGGCGGGGTGTGTGCAACAGGTACCTAATAGTATCTTCTAGGTTAAATTGTTTAATTGGTAGAGCTGACAGTGACAGAGTCAACCATACAGAGGGGAGGAGCCCTCTCTCTAATATAGTGACCACCCGGGGTCACATTAAGTAAACAATAACAGTCACTGCCGTAAACTCCCAGTGTTCTGTCTATACCATCCCTTCTGGCAGAGACCCTGGGAGAGGCCAACCTCCATCCAACCACTGGCCAGGAAGCCCCGTATGGAAGCCATACCTCCCATCCCTTCAGGCAGTACTTACACATAAGTATAGGAGACACAGGGCTCAGGATACCGCACACCAGGTGCCCTGCACATACACAGAGCCCCCAGAGAAGGAGGAGTTACGTGCCTCTGACACAAAGTGACAGGCACCGCAACTGCACAGTGCACAGCTGTGCCATTATTCCATCAGGCAACTGGGCAGCACTGATTTAGACAAGGAGGGGAAGACAGCATCGAGTGGATTCCTACCAGGCCACGTTGCTGGGGGCTGCACTCCCAAGGTGACACAGCAGCTCCAGGGTCTGCGCAGTGCTGGCAGAGTCGTCAGGGGACTCATGGCCGCCAGACTCCAGCTCCTTGGGCATCCTCCATATGGCTGCACACCCCAGGACTCGGTTGTCGGAAGCTGCGCAACAGAAGAGAATGTCAGCAGGGCAGCAGGGACAGCGCTTGACAGGCACACGGATGTGAAGGAGACATCTGCTCCCAGGACCCTGATGCTGCAGACACAGAGCATGGGTCAGCCCGGCAGGGCCAGCACACACAACAGACACTGCCGGGCCAGCGTCAGCCCACACGCACCTTGGCACAAAAAAGTCTTTCTTAAAAGAAAATGCTATTTTCTCAAAGTTGATGTCCTTTTACCCTTCAACAGTTCTTCAAACACAGGAGGAAAATGGGGTGAGTATAAGGCTGCCCCCAGGCACCCAGCTGGCATCCGAGGTGGCATCAAAAGGGTCTCTCTGCACAAAGCACTATGGGTTTGTCAAAAATGGGTGTACACACACAAGAAGCCGTCCATCTGGAAACACTATTGGGAGCACTGATCTGCCTCAGTTTATCTAAGAGGATGCACGTCTAGGCTCAGAAGCACTGCTGGCTGAGGCTCACAGGTCTTACTCTGGTGCCCAAGGCCCATCGGCGCCAACGCGGCCTGGTCTCACTCCAGGGTTCTGGAACCCTGACGTGGTTCTTGCAGATGGTCTGAGGATCAAGGCACCATGTGGGTGGAGCCTAAACTCACATGCGAAGGCCAAGAATGTGCATGCTTCAGGAGATCCTCTCAGTAAGACAGAGCCTTCAAAAATGAGGCTTAGAGTGCTGGCAAGACAGCTCAGCAGACTACGTGCCTGCTTAGGCAAGTGCAAGGACAGGGGTTCGATTCCTGACACCAGAAGCTGCACTGGCTCCGCCCCCAGGAGCACTGAGCCAGCCACCAAGACCAGGCATGGTGGTGCACACCTATAATCCCACCTCTGGGGAGGCTGAAAACAGGGGGATCACTGTAAGTCCGAGCTGTGTAGTGAGACCTTGCACCAAATACATAAAAAAAAAAAAAAAATGAGGTTTAGGACTAAAGGTGTGGCTCAGTGCAGAGGGCTTGCCTGGCACTGTGTGGTCCTCAGTCTGATCCCCAGCACCCAGCACCATACAAAGAAGCTCTAAAAAACCAGATTTAATATTAAATTCATATATAAACACCTTTTAAAATGTGCATTATATTTAGTTTTAAACTGTAAGTGTGCTAAACATCTTCCTTCCCCGTTTAAAGGAGACTTTAATGAACAGGTTTTAACATTAAATCAACTCATCAAGTGAAGAGCAAAATAGATCCTGTTTTATTTTTTATCTTGCTGAGTTGTCCAGGATAACCTCAAACTTAAGATCCTTCAGCCTCAAGCTCCTAAGAACCAACCTAGGCGTAGCATACCCTATACTGCATTAAAGCAAGAAAAAACACCCCATGAACAAAAAAATAGTATGTACAGTATTATAAAATAAAGACCTTATATTGTGTTTGGAAATATATCACTTATTATTAGCTACTACAGCCCTTCAGTTTAAGGGTGAATGTATTGAATCTGACCCACGAAACAGCCCTGGGCACAATGACATAGTATCTAATTTCATGTATGTTATTGTTACTACCATCAGTACTCACGCCCATATAGTAGTAGAAGGATTAGGATTTTAGTCCAGGTTTTCTGATTCAAACTTCTGTGCTCATGTCACATACTTTACTGGGTCTAAGAAAATGTGGAATTATGACTTAAAGAACCATACACCTCATCCGTCTATATTCAACAAAACCTTGGTTTCTTAACATAATTCATTTTAGAAACATGCCAGTAATCCAAAGCACTTGTGTATCAAAGCAAATTGCACCATAAGAAATAAGAGAAACTCAAACGATTCATTCCACAACTCAAAATACTCATTTAAAAATGATCACAGGGAATATAGCTCAGTGGCACAACACCTGCATGGCAATGTGAGGTCCTAAGTTCGACCGCCACTGCCAAAGGAAAATATGATCACAATACTGTAATATAATAAAAGTAATAAAGCAAAATAAAGAAATTAACCTACACTTACCTTTGGAAACCTTTGTGACCTGTGTAAGGGAGACAAGAGGGAGTACGGGTACTGTGCACGATTGCTATCTACTGGTTCCATGTAATCTTTTTCTTTTCCTGCAACTTACTTTTCTGTCTGTCTGTCTTTCTTTCTTTGACACAGGATCTCACTGTGTAGTCCAAACTGGCCTTGAACTCACCATGTACCCCACGCTGGCTTCAAGCTTGCAGCGATCCTCCTGCCTCAGCTTCCCACATGCTGGCAGTACAGATGTGCCTGGTTTGTGCAACTTTAACAAAGAACCCACTCAATAACACTTGGTTTTGCCCTCTTTACACAGAATTTTTGTGAAAATGTGTCCTGATTCATCATTCACACTGCTGCAGCCTTATGTGGGTGGTGCTTTTCCACAAAATTTGGTGCCATGTCCCACATTTTACACATCTCTCTAATCTCATTCGAAGTGAGGGTGCCCTTGCCTTTTTGTCCTCCTCTGCAGATGCAATCTCCTTCATAACCTCTTGCTGTCAGGAGACGGTCACCAACAACATCACAGAGAAGGACGGAGAGAGCGGAAAAGAGAGTCCAGCTCCGCCATGCTCAGGTGACGTCTGGCAGCCCGTGCTCTGCTGCAAAGCTCCACTCGCTTAGGTTAAAGCTTACTAGAAAGTGTTCGCTGTCGGGACACTCACAGAGCAAGCTGTTCGCAGCCCAAGGCTGTACTGTATGTGCTGGTATTTTCATGTTAACACTTCTACTTTTAACTATGAGGTATAGTACACAGTGACTTCTGTCTGCATGCAAATTAACTTTTGGCTGATGTTTTCAGTCACAGAGCCTTTCAGGGAGCCCGTGAGCTGCAAGCAGGTACTAATTTTGAAACAGAGAAGAGGCGTTCTCAAGACCCCCAGATCCAGCCCTAGCCCAGGCCCGGTGAATGTGTAGGAGAGCTTCCCACTACCTTGCGCTGGTGGGACCTGTCTGGCCCAAGCCCAGGCGCAGCATGGGTGGACCCTCTTCCACCCCCTTGGGTCCCCCCAACCACTCTGAAGTCCCCGCCACTCCTACCCAGTGAGTGAGAACTTCTGCTGTGTTCTTGGGACCCCCAGATCCAGCCCTAGTCCAGGCCCAGTGAGTGTGTGGGAGAGCTTCCTCACCCCTCTACTCCACCTTGTCCCCTTCAGACTCAGCTCAGGCCTGGAATACAGGCCTGGGGTGAAACCCTGCAGCTGCAATCCCTGCACAGAGATTAGGGGACAGAACCATCCAGCTAGTCCAGGAGCAGAACATCTTGCCAGAGGGGCACAACAGGTTCACTCCCAAGGGTGGCAGCAGGAAGGAGCTGAGCACAGTAGCCAGACCCAAGCCAGGCACAGCTGGATAAATTTAAACTTTGTAGATCTGCACCTGAATTTCAGTAGGTGCTAAGCTTATAACTGCACCAAAGCTCTACAACAAAGGTCAGAAGACAGTGCTATACAAAATGACAATGAGAAGTAGCAAAATGCAATCTCAGAACCCAAGCCCACCCATAAAACAAAGAAGAGAAGAAAACCTGGTGGGTATTGAGTGACTTCAAAGTCCCTCTGATATAGAGGAAATAAATGCAGTTCCTAACTTCCCACATGTCCAATATGTTGAGTTTGTGTTCCCCAAAATTGAAGAACGAATTCTAAGAAACAACAGAAGAAAACTTTTATTGAGAAAGAGAGCTCCTCAGAGACAGGAGGGGACTGGGGTTTTATAGAGCACAATCATAAGGTGGCTGCAAAATCAGAAGATGGGTACACCTCAGGACAAAATTAGATCAAGCAGTAAGATTACGAGTCTAGCCACTTAGGTAGGATTGATCCAATGCAGAAGCAGGTCACGTAGCAATCGTACCTGGGAAGAGCCAGGGCCTTTCTGGAAGAGGTGAATGGGGGAGGCTCCAGCCACCCGTGGGGTGACTGATGCTAACATTACTGTCTGTCTCACAGGGTGGCAGTAGGCCTGGCCATTTTGTCTTTCTCTTGAGGCCTGGCCTCCAACAGACACTCTTCCAACCACAATTATAATGTGTTCTCATTCTCCACATTGACTCCCGCCAGAACCTAGCCCTGTAATAGTTCTACCTAGCTTAGCTGTCTATATATAATACCTTACTGAAAATCCGAACCTAAGAAGTCACCTTCAGGGCTCAGAAAGTTGCCTGCATTAGGAGCGCCTGTCAACAGCACGGACCTGAGAGCTGGACGCGGCTGCAAGACTGGCTGAATGCAGAGTGTGCTTCCGACCCAAGGAATACGGTAGGTGTGATGGGTAATTTCTAAAGCCTCAGGAGCAGTCAAAATTTCAGGAGAACAGCACTAAGAAACACGGGAGGCTTGCCCATGGAGACACATGCATTGTTTCTGAAGCTCTGAGGATTTCCACAGCTGTACACATAGCACCAGGGCACTCAATGCACTTCCAGCAGATATCAAAGAAACGAAGGTATTCTGAGATGAGAAAGCTGATCTTTAGAAGGAAAATGCTGTAATAACCAGGGAGGCATTCATCTTTCATCTCTGTCTTTATCCTGAAATTAGGCCCTGGAATATTACTACCTGTGCTGAATTAATATTACAATGACTAGAAGCGCTCAGAGGGCAGGGTGCAAGGCCCCTGCATACAACTGAGTCCAGGCCTCGAAGTGCAAGCTTGGTACATCCAGAGTGATGGCACAAAGCCCCAGCCCTGTTCAAAACCAAGCCTTTGTGCCAAGGACAGGGCCACGGCCCACAGCCAAGCCAAGCCATCTACACCAATGTGAGTCACGCCCACCGGATGGCTGGGCTCTGAAGGAATGCAGACCGTGCATTGAATGAACCCAGCCTCCCTGCTGCGCTAATGAGGAAACTGAGGCCCCCTGAAGCTAACGGACTTCCCCAAGTGCACACAGCTCATCAGCACCGGAGTAGAAGTGAAAGGAGGCTTCCTGACTCCTTAACAGGCCCCAGCCTTGAAAGAGAAAATCCAAGCTGAATCTTTAAGGCCAATTTGACGCCGCTGCCTAGTTTTTCTTCT